ATATGAGTAGAAATTACAAATAAGAAAGGAAAGATCACTTTGATGGGATTGTATTGTAGGCCCCGCAATAGTAAGAGGGAAATTGAGAAACAAATACATGGGGAGATCTCAGATATATGTAAGCATAAGGTTGTAATATTGGGGGACTTTAATTTTCCAAACATTGACTGGGACTACCATAGAGTTCAAGCTTTGGATGGTGATAAATTTGACAAATTTGTCAAATGTGTTCAAGAAAATTTTCTTTATTGATATGTGGATGCACCCACTAGAGAAGGAGCAAAACTAGATCTTCTTTTGGGCAATAAGGCAGGGCAAGTGATAGAAGTAAAAGTGGGGGAACAATTTGAGTCTAGCAATCATAATTCTATTAGTTTCAAAATGATTATGGAAAAAGATAAGCCTTCCATAAAAGTTAAAGTTCTTAACTGGAGTAAGGCAAATTTTAATGGTATGAGACAAAAACTTTCAGAAGTTGATTGGAATAGACTGTTCACAGGTAAAAGGATGTCTGACAATTGGGAGGCGTTCAAGAGCATAATGACGCGAGTTTAGGGGCATTTTGTTCCTGTTAGGGTAAGGTTGGTAAGATTAAGGAACAATGGATGAATAAAGATATTGAGGTTCTATTCGAGAATAAGAGAGAATCTTATTCTAGATATAGACAACTTGGTTCAATTGAATCTCTTAATCGATACGAAGAATGTAGGGGCATTCTTAACAAAGGAATCAGGAAGGCAAAGGTGGGGGTATGAGTTAGCATTGGTAGATAAGGTTAAGGATAATCCAAAAGGATTCTACAAATACATTAAAAGCAAGAGGGTAACTAGAGAGAGGGTAGGACCTCTTAAAAATCAAGGGGGTCATCTTTGTGTTGAATCAGGAGATGGGAGAGGTACTAAATGAATATTTTGCGTTAGATTTTATTGCAGAGAAAGACATAGAGTCTAGAGAATACAGAGAAATAAACTTTGATGTTTTAAAAACAGTTCACATTACAGAAAAAGAAGTTAGGAAAGTCTTAGAGAATATAAAGCTGGATAAATCTTTGGGATCTGATCCAATGCATCCCAGAACATTGTAGGAAGTAAGGGAGGAAATTACGACACCCCTTGCAGAAATATTTGCATCATCTACAACTACGGGTGAGGTACCTGATGATTGGAGGATGGCTAATTTTGTACCTTTGTTTAAGAAAGGTTGTAAGGAGAAACCGGGGAACTATAGACCTGTGAGTCTGACTTCGGTTGTGGGTAAATTGTTGGAAGCCATTATAAAAGATAGGATTTATGGACATTTAGAAGGGCAAAAATTGATTAGGGACAGTCAGCATGGTTTTGTGCGAGGAAAATTGCATCTCACAAACTTGATTGAGTTTTTTGAGTAAGTTACCAAAAAGATTGATGATGGAAGAGAGTTGGTGGTAGAGGGTTGTTTTCGGACTGGAGGCCTGGGACCAGCAGTGTTCCACAGGGACTGGTTCAGGATCCTTTTTTGTTTGCCATTCATATAAATGATTTTAATGAGGATATAGAAGGCATGGTTAGTAAGTTTGTGGATGACACCAAAATTGATGGCATAGTAGAGAGTGAAGGTAGTTTTCTAAGATTACAAAGGGATCTTGATCAAATGGGTCAATGGGCTGAATAATGGCAGATGGAGTTCAATCTGGATAAACAGGAGGTAATGCATTTTGGTACAACAAACAAGGGTAGGGCTTATACAATTCATGGTAGGGCCTGGTTAGTGTTGTAGAACAGAGGAACCTAGGGCTACAGGTATCAAATTCTTTGAAGTTTGCATCACATATAGACAGGGTGGTTAAAAAGGCGTTTAGCACGCTTCCCTTCATTACTCAATCCTTTGAGTATAGGAGTTGGGAATTCATGTTGAGGTTGTACAGGACATTGGTGAGGCCTCTTCTAGAATACTGTGTCCAGTTCTGGTCGCCCAGTTACAGGAAGGATATCATAAAGCTGGAGAGGGTTCAGAAGAGATTTACCAGGATTTTGACGGGTATGGAAGGTTTGAGTTATAAAGAAAGGCTGGACAGACTGGGACCATTTTCGTTGGAGTGTGGGAGGTTGAGAGCTAACCTGATAGAAGTTTATAAAATAATGAGAGGTACAGGTATAGATAATGGTAACCATCTTTTTCCTAGGATGGGGGATATCAAGACTAGGGGGCATATTTTTAAGGTGAGAGGAGAGAGATTTAAAAATAACATGAGGCAAATTTTTTACACAGAGTGTAGTTCATGTGTGGAATGAACTTCCTGAGGAAGTGGTGGATGCAGGTACAATTACAACATTTAGAAAACATTTGGATAAATACATGAATATGAAACATTTGGAGGGATATGAGCCAGAAGCAGGCAGGTGGGATTATGTTCAGCATGGACTGGTTGGAACAAAGGGTCTGTTTCCGTGCTATATGACTTTATGACTATTAGCCACTCTCCAGTCATCTGGCACATCACCCATAGTTATAGATGATACAGATATCTCCTCAAGAGGCCCCACAATTTCCTCCCTAACATTCCATAACATCCTGGGATACACTAGATCAGGTCCTGGAGATATATCCACCTTAATATTTTCCAAGAGCCCCCGGCACTACTACTTCTGTAATGTGAACTGTTTTCAAGACATCAATATTTATTTTCCTGCATTCTCTAGCCTCCATTTCTTTCGCCATGGTAAAAACTAATGCAAAATATTCATTTAGTATCTCTCCCACCTCCTGAGCTTCAACACAAAAACTGCTCTTTGATCTTTAAGGGCCCTACTCTGTCTTTAGTTGCTCTTTTGCTCTTAATGTACTTGTTGAGTTTCTTTAGCTTGTCGTTAACCTTTTCTGCCAAGGTTATCTCATATCCCCTTTTTGTCTTCCTGATCTTCCTTTTAAGAATGCCCCTACATTCTTTATTCAAGAGTTTCAATTGATTTCTATATCTGATATGACTCTGAATTCTCTTTATCACACTTTTGAAAGCCTCCCACTTATCAGATGTTCCTTAACTTGTGAACAGTCTACTCCAATCAAATTCTGAAAGTTCTTGTTTCATACCATTAAAATTTGCCTTACTCCAATTAAAACCTTTAACCTTTATGTTTATGATTCATAAGGAATCCAAGCTGAAAGGGGCAGGCTGGAGAGGCATAAGATCTTTTCATATGTTCCAACCTGCAATAAATTTGGTGAGAAAAATGAAAATTGCCTTTTTCTTAAAATTCATTCATGGGAAGAGGGTGTCGCTGGCTAGGCAGCATTTATTCCCCATCCCTAATTGCCCAGAGTCAACCACATGTGTCTGGGTCACATGTAGGCCAGACCAGGTAAGGATGGCAGTTTCCTTCCCTAAAGGACATCAGTGAACCAGATGGATTTTTCCTGACAATCGGCAATGGGTTCATGGTCATCATTAGATTTTTAATTCCAGATTATTTTTATTGAATTCAAATTCCACCATCTGCCGTGGCAGGATTTGAACTCTGGTCCCCAGAACGTTATCTGGTTTTCTGGATTAACAGTCCAGTGATAACACCACTAGGCCATCACCTCCCCATATGTCCAGTCCATCCATATTTGGAGATGGTGGCTTGTCAGTAGACGACAGCCTGTACTGTAACTTCACTACTCAGTGGATTGTTGCTGGCTGCAAAGCAGGCCCAGAGAGCTCGATACATATTCAAATCGCATTAAGAAAGGTCTGAATTGTAAGTGAATTTTGAAAAATCTTCACTGGGCTTCTTTAAAATTTTACATGTTCCATCCACGTAATGGTGAAATATTTATCACTAGTTGTGCATCATGTGACAATATTTATGCCTGGGAAGTGCAAGATCAAGTTATGAAGCAACTCGTGTGTGGTTGATAATCTGACAATACTTAAGATCCCAATTTACAAATGAGGAATTACCATAATAGGAAGCTGATACCATGCATCTGCACTCGAGTGGGATTCAGCACCTTCAGATGCTCCATGATACAGCCCCTCTCCCTTTCTCTAAGATAGGCCTGAGCACACCTTAGCAAGCCTAACAGTCATTGGCTCACATCCTTTCTCCAATGTAATTGCTCCTTGAACACAAGAATTAGATTCAGGAGATGGCCATTCAGCCCGTTGGCCTTGCTCTAATCCTCAATTAGATCATGGCTGAGCTTCTACCTCAACACCATTTTCCTACATTATCCACATATCCCTGAATGTCTTTAATATCGAGAAATCTACCCCGAGCATACATTCAATAGGGTCTACAGGATTTCCAAACATACACCAAGCACTGCCCCCAACATCTAACAGCTCCCCCTTTTCCCTTGTCCATTTCCACCACTCAGTCAGCACCCACTGCTTGCTCATTTTCCCACCTTTCCCCCACCAGAATACAAGTGGGGGAAAGTTACTTGGACACTTCATTCCAGGAGACAGTCACAACCCTTAGGATAGGGTCCTCTGGTGTTACTGATCAGGGACAGGAGGGGGTGACTGAATGAAGTGGGCAAGGAGGCCCCAGAGCAGAGGGGGCTACAGTCATCTAAGCAATTCAGAGAAGGTTTACTAGACTAATACCTGGAATGGGGGGGTGTGCTGTCGTTTTATGAGGCAAGGTTGTACAGGTTAGGCTTGTATCCGCTGAAGATTAGAAGGGTATGAGGTGACTTCATTGAAACATGAAATCCTGAGGAGTTTTGATCGGGAGGATGTGCAAAGGACGTTTTCTCTTATGGGAGAATCTAGAACCAGGGATCACTGTTTAAAAATAAGGGACCACCCAGTTACAACAGAGATGAAGAAGATGTTTTTCTCTCTCAGAGGGATTGTGACTCTCTGCCTGAAAAGGGGGTGAAAGCAGAGACCCTGAATATTTTTAAGCCAGAGGTAGATAGATTCTTGACAAGAAAGGGGTGAATTAGGGCTAGGCAGGAGTTGAAGTAATTGGATCATCCATGATCTCATTGGATGGTAGTATTGGCTTGAGGGGCTGAGTGGCCTATTCCTTCTCCTAACTCATGTGCTTTTATGTATATCATACCCTAATGCATTCTACACAGCATCACTCACACACATTAACCGGAACTCTCTCTCCTGCTTGAGGCAGATGACAATAATGGGGACCATGGTTACAGAGAACATGTTTATGAAACTATGGTAGATGCTGTTTCAGACAATAAAGGGTAGTATGCTGCAGTGTTGACCAATGCAAAGGACTCAACCTGTACCATTGTAGCTATTTATTAACAGCTCTGTGATCAGAAAAGCAACAACAGGTATACTGAGTTAAACTGGTCATCTCACCAGTAATTCTGTTGTTTATGTCTGGCAGGATGTGTACTCCCACAGCAACAACTGCCCTCCAGAAAGCAGAGGAGATAGAAAAATTAGTCAATAAAAGCCAAGAGGCCATGTCATTTGCATATTGTCCATACAGCAAGTTCCCAGTAGGAGCTGCTTTACTGACTGAGGATGGACGGGTGTTCACAGGTAGGAAATCTGCTCTTCCCGTTATCGTCAAGAAGCTGTATGTTGGGACCTCTGCTTTTTAACTAAAAGACGTGTTGATGAGGAAGACCCTGACTTGACCAACAACATGCATACTCAGTTAATGCTGCCATAGGTTAAACTGGTCAGAGGAAATCACCTGGAACCAATTGAGACACAGTAGCTTGAGATCATAGTGTTTGTGTTTCCCCTCATAGATTTACACTGTCTATATCCACAATAATCTTAATCCCATTGTCTCACAAAATCATGAATAACTAAAAAATAAAGAGATTTATTATAAAAATCATGAGCATTTTTTTAAAATCATAAACCAATTCAGATTGGTTTGTAAATCTTACAAGTAGCTTGTTGAATTGTGCGAGAAGTCCGAATTTCAGAAGAACACAGAAGGCCATCTAGCCCAAGATTTAGACTGGCTACTGTGTTGATGGGCTAAATTGGGTGTTTACACTCTTGTACTAATGAGAGACCCCACTTGAAAATGTAATGCCCAGTACATAGTAGGCATGTTCCCTCTGATGTGGGAATCTACCTTGGGAGGTGATTAAATAACTGCTTACACTTATTTAAATGTCATCAACTCCATTCAGGTGTCAGTTTTTCTAGTGTCAAGGACTCCAAACACTTTACATACCCTATGAACCTAGGAAACCGAGCAGAAGCACTGTATACTTCAGACCAAACTACTCTGCCTCTTTCACATCATGTCGCCTCAGATGTTGACAGTAAACTTGCACTAACAGTAACAAAGAGTTTTGTGTGTTACCTATTTTGAAAAAACTGCACCAGAAAACACATGCTGAAATGACAAGAGGAATCAAGGGCTAATAATGGATAACACACAGAGTAATGGTGTAGCTAACTAAAAATCTATTCTGCCTGTCCATCTCAAATTAAATGTAATTGGTGGTTATAAACTATATCTCAAAGTAACAACAAGTTTCAACATTTCTGGCTGCAATCTGCATTGGATGCCAACACAGTCACATCCTGCTCTGTTGCCCAAGACATTGCTAACCCAAAGGTCAACAGATCCGGTTAAACATTATTCAGGAACTCACCAACAACCTTTCACCAACTGCTCAAATATCCACTGGTCACAGTTTAATTTTAAGCTACTAACACAGCACTGTGAGGCAGAAATATTGCAGATTCTTGTGTGCAGACCTGGTGCACAGTATTGAACATTTGAGAGATAGGGCTAGACCTTGCCAATTAATTTGTATGCTATTCGCATTAGTTGTATAGCCTTCCTACCACATAACTGACACAATAGAGAATGGAAAGGCCTCAGGATCAACTTGCAGTTTGTGTTGATTATACTGAATACAACTGCAGCAGTGGCAAGAGCTAATATTGGACTCAGTATCTTTTTGGCAAAGGGAAAACGGAATGAGCCAGGGATCTTTGCTCGTAGCCTCTCTCCAGTCACTACTGCCAAAAAGTTCCTGTAGATGAACATTAGGAAGAGATCAGTCTAGGCTATGAAGCCCCTAACAGCCATTCAGCCTGGTGTCAGACAGGGCACACCCTTGGAGATTAGTTTTGGCAAATTTTGGGGAGCAAGAAAGCTAGGTATAGAGAGTGAGAAAGCTAGGTATAGAGAGCGAGAAAGCGAGAGTGAGAGATGCAGATCCCCACTAATTTGACAAAAGCAAAATACTGTGGATGCTAGATCTGAAATAAAAACAGGAAATGATGGAGAAACTCAAGTCTGGCAACATCTGTAATGACAGAAACAAAGTTAACATTCAAGTCCAGTACGACTTCTTCAGAATTGAAGACAAAAGTGGAAAAGTGATGGGATTTTAATGTAGAAAGGTTGGGGATGAACAAGATGGGAAGGTCAGGGGAAGGTTAGAGGATGATGGAGATTAGAGGTGCAGATGTCACAGAACAAAAGACAAAGGGAGTGATAATGAGTTCACAAGAGTCATTGAGATGTACTCCTGAGAAAAGATCCTCTGGCCCAACTCATCCATGCTGACCAGATATCCTAAATTAATTTAGTCCCATTTGCCAGCTTTTGGCCCATCTCCCTCTAAACCCTTCCTATTCATGTACCCATCCAGACGCCTTTTTGATGTTGTAATTGTACCAGCCTCCACCACCTCCTCTGGCAGCTCATTCCATACACTCACCACACTCGGTTTGAAAAAGTTGCTCCTTAGGTCCCTTTTAAAACTTTCTCCTCTCACCTTAACCTACGCCCTCCAATTTTGGACTCCCCTAACCTGGGGAATGACCTTGGCTATTCACCCTATCCATACCCCTTATGATCTTATAAACTTCTATAAGGTAACCCCTCAGCCTCCGATACTCCAAGGAAAATAGCCCCAGCCTACTTAGCCTCTCCCTAAGGCTCAAACCCTCCAACCCTGGTAACATCCTTGTAAATCTTTTTCGAACCCTTTCAAGTTTGACAACATATTTCCTTGAGCAGGAAGACCAGAATTAAATGCAGTATTGCAAAAGTGGCCTCACCAATGCCCTGCACAGCCACAGCATGACCTCCCAACACCTATTTGCAATGCACTGACCAATAAAGGCATGCGTGCCAAACACCTCCTTCACTATCCTGTCTACCCGTGACTGCACTTTCAAGGAACTATGAACTTGCATTCCAAGGTCTCTTTATTCAGCAACATACATAGAACATAGAACGTAGAACAGGACAGCACAGTACAGGCCCTTCGGCCCACGATGTTGTGCCGAACTTTTACCCCAATCCTAAGGTCTATCTAACCTCCACCCCTACCTTATACTATCATCAAATCCATCTCCACACTTCCCTTCCTTTCCTTGACCTCACCATTTCAGGGAATAAATTTTGGTGGCTCGGTGGTTAGCACTGCAGCCCCACAGCGCAAGGTACCCGGGTTCAACTCCACCCTCGGGTGGCTGCCCGTGTGGAGCCCGTATGTTCCCCCCCCGTGTCTGTGTGGGCCTCCTCCAGGTACTCCGGTTTCGTCCCACAGTCCAAAAATGTGCAGGCCAGATGGATTAGCCATGCCAAATCGTCCATAGTGTTCAGGGATGTGTAGATCAGACATACCTCAAGACCTTACCATTAAGTGTGTGTGTCCTGCCCTGATTTGCCTTCTCAAAATGCAGCACCTCGCCTTTATTCAAATTAAACTCTATCTGCCACTCCTTGGCCCATTGGCCCGTCTGATCAAGGTCCCTTTGTACTCTGAGGTAATCTCCTTGGTTGCCCACGACGCCTTCAATTTTGGTGTCATCTACAAACTTACTAACTGTACCTCTGATATTCACATCCAAATCATTTATAGGACAAAGCATCATTTCAGACCTAGTCTTAATGGCAAGGTAAGGGTCAACTCTGACTGAAAGAAGCATTAAAAGATACGACATGAAGAGGAAAAAAAATCAAAATGGAAGTCAGCGTTCATGGCCTGAAATTGTTGAAGGTTATAAAATGCCTAATTTGGAAATGAAGTGCTACTCCTCCTTCTTGCCTTTGAATAATTATATGTTTAATCTCTTCCTTCTCAGGCTGCAACATTGAAAATGCATGTTACACAGAGGGAGTCTGTGCTGAAAGGGCAGCCATTCACAAGGCTATCTCAGAAGGTTTCCGAAAATTCAAGGCAATGGCTATTTCTAGGTACTGACTGAACCTCGCTATGGTGTTACATCAGGAAGTTGGGCAGTCCAGATACCATATGAAAGTCAACAGTTCTCTCATTGTTTCATATTCTAACTTAATCTCTCCTTGGATCGCAAACCAGACGTTCCTCATCTCCCTCACTTACACAATAAGTTCTTTAAACCAAAGGTTTGCCCTCAGATAGTCACAGCTCCTTGTTTTCCCTCCTCTGTAATCTCTTTGATCTCACCCAAACCCATCACTTTGGAATTTGATCCTTTGCTTCTTCTTTCAATAATGAACATTAGTTGCAAGCCCATCGAAAGTCTAGTGAGTTAAAGCTAAGTTAAAGTTTAGTTAAAGAAACCCTAAAGTGGAGAAATAGACAGACAGTTTAAATTGAAATAGTTTTCACACAGGAAGCCAGGCAGAACTATTAAAGGGGGAAATCAGAGAGATGTCAGAGGAAGTGGGTTATTGGACCAGGTTACAGAAGCACCCCTTTCTTCAAGCTCCCAACTGATCTGAATATGCTGCTGTTGCACAGACAGTTAGGATGGGAATGGGTCCAGGTAATTCTGTGCAGTGGGTTGGGAATGTAAGTGGTAATTCTAGATCCATGGGGAATTCTGGTATAAGCAGAACTGGATAGAATTATTTTAAATTAGATTAGAAGCATAGTGATAGTGTCTCTAGATTGATAACACAGAGACCAGGATGAATGCTCCAGAGACAGGAATTCAGATCTTACACAGCGACTAGGGGAATTTAAATTAAATTAATAAATCTGCATATTCTGCTTTCTTGCAGTCATAAATCAGACAACTTCATTGCTCCATGCGGTGCATGCAGACAAGTCATGAGAGAGGTGAGGTCTCATTTTAAATCTTATCCAATGCTCCTTTAATCCACTTGATAATATTATCCAAAGTTAATGGTTTTATATAAAGGTACAGAGTGATAGTGGGTTATCAATCAGCCTGGAATTCAGGGATGAGATCATTCTGCATGGAGTTTGGGGGTGGGATCAGAGGTTCATATCAATTTACCTAATTCATAAGAAAATAGGAAAGTCATTTGTGAAGAGGACATAAAGTGGCTACAAAGGGATACATATAGGTTAAGTGATTGGACAAAGGTAAAGCAAATGGAGTATATGATGTGGAAAATGTGAAATTGTCCATTTTGGCAGGAAGATTAAAACAAACATATCATTTAAATGGTGGGAGATTACAGAATTCTGAGAGAGAGGGGGATCTGGGTGCCCTTATGCATGAACCAAAAAAGTGAGTACACAGGTACAGCAAGTAATCAGGAAAGCTAATAGAATGCATTAAAATAAAGGGCGACAGATGCTGGAGATGTAAAACAAAAACAAATTGGAGAAACTCAGCAGGTCTGGCAGCATCTGTGGGAAGAAAGGAGATTAAAAGTTCCGAGTCCAGTGAGTCTTCGTCAGAACTTTAGCAGCTGGGGAAAAAGTGGTATTAATGCTGAAGTCAAAATTACGGGAAGGGGAAGGATGAATGGGTAAGTGACGATGGAGCCCAGAGGGACAGATATGAAAAGGATAGCTAAATTAGGAGATTATGAATAGCAGATCGGGATAGAAAACAAAAGCTCAATAAGTGGTAACAAGAACTGACAGTAGGAGAAAATGGGTGAGTTGTATATACCATATAATGTGATTAAGGGCTTTGGTGTATGTGAGAATGGTGACTGTACTAAAAGCAACCCAAGTTATAACAGGATCGAGTGTGGGTGGGTAAAAAAAATAATAGATGGATGGATGGAATCAGGCTCTAAAGTATTGAACTCAATGTTGAGTCCTAGAAGTTGCAGCGTCCCCAAGCGGAAAATGAGATGTTTTTTGAGCTTGTGCTGAGGCTCACTGGAAAACTGCAACAGGCCTGCTACTGAAATGTTGGCATAGGAACATGGTGGTGTGTTCAAATAGCAGGCAACAAGAAGCTTAGGATCTTTTTTGTGGACAGAACCCAGGTGTTCTGCAAAGTGGTCACCCAGTCCATGTACCATTTCCCAATGTAGAGGAAACTGTACTGTGAACAGCGAATACAGTAAAATAGACCAAATGAAGGACAGGTAAATCACTGCTTCACCTGGAAGGTATGTCGGGGGTCACATATGGTGATGCAGGAGGAGATAACTGGGCAGGTATTACACCTTCTGCAATTGCCGTGGGGATATGAGGAGAAATTGGGAATGGAAGGGGAGTGGACTGGAGCGTCCTGGAGGGAATGGTCCCTGCAGAATGCTGATAAGGGAATGTAAAGTAATTAGATCAGCCATGATGTTACTGAATGGCGAAGCAGGCTTGAGGTGCCAACTGGCCTACTCCTGCTCCTAATTTGTACGTTCATAATATCCCTAAAATGAGTTTATTCCTTCCCTCATTCTCTCTCTCCACAGTTTGGAACTAAGTGGGAAGTGCATTTGACAAAACCAGATAAATCCTATAAGACGATGACCATTGAAGAACTCTTGCCAATGTCTTTTGGACCACAGGACCTGCCAACTGAATAATGAACAATGTGCAAACATGAGGAATCGTTTAGGACAGTAATCTTCAGCTCCAGATGATAATAAGGAACCCTCAGCTTTATTCTTATTCTTAATCATTTTCTAGTCCATTCAATTACCAACTAAAATGTATCCAGAAAATGTAGCATGTTTCTGAATTTGATGCTTGATATAACATTCAAACCATGACCTCAGAAACTTCAACTTGTTCTGCATTTACAAAATAAATGTATTTCATCCAAGATTATGAACCTGCTGAACTGAAAAGAGCAGATAAGGCAACAAACTAAAAATATTCCATCAAATATTGCTCACATCAGAGCATAACTCTGTATCTAACACTGTGCTGTATCTGTCCTGGCAGTGTTTGATGCATCAGTGCCAACCAAGTTTTTACTTTCAGCTCTGAATAAGTAGAGGGAGGTTTACTCTCTATCTAACCCCTTGTCGTCCCTCTGCAGGGAATGTGTGATGGTGACTGTGTTGAGGAAGCTTTAATTTAAGTTTAAAAGAGTAGATGGGGCTTTACTCTGTATCTAACCCCGTTCTGTCTTTGCTGTGGTGGTGTTTGATGGGTACAGTGTTGAGGCAGCTTTACGTTTGTTTACACTTAATTTAAGAAGAGTAGAGAGCTTTACTTTAAGTTTACCTTTAGTTTAAAAAAATAGTAGACATAACTACTCTGCATCGAATCTGCTGTTCCTGTCCTGACAGTGTTTGATAGGGAGTGTGCAGACTGTACGATGTACACGATATTGTTGAATATTGATGTGGAACGTATTCAACTAGTGCTTCTGTGGAATGGAGTGAAATTAAGTAGAGCTGAAACCGGATGTTCTAATGAAGGTAGAGAGAGCCAATGTGGTGCCTAGGATAGCAGCATTAATGTAGGGTGAACAAACATTCAAACAAATTACTCAAGAGGATCAGTAGAAGTAACAATTAAGAAGAAATCTGAAAAGTTGATTTTTTTGCAAAAATTATCTTAAGGCCTCTTGTGATTTGTTAATCTCAACAGAAATATATTCAGCATAAGAACAAAATCAAATTCAGCTTCTAAGTAATTTCACGTTGCTCCTATTGAAACCGCAGACTCGACAGAAATGTTTTGGAAGTGGATGTTACATGGTGTGTGGAATCTTCAAGCTGCAGGTGATATTCCCAATATGAACAAGGGGTTAATTAGAGAGAGCTTTACTCTGCATCTAACCCTGGGCTGTACCTTTCTTAGGAGTATACAGAGTATCCTGGGAGTACCTTGATGGGGACAGCATCATTAGTTTCTGTTTACCTTTAGTTTGAAAGGGTATGGAAACTTTACTCTGTATCAAATCCTGTTCTATATTGTCCTGGGAGTGTTTCCTGGGACATGTTATACATAGTTAGGTCAATATGTACTATGCTTATCTCAAATTGTAGGCGTACTGGCTTTCAGGTACAATACAAGTGTGTTTAATGCTCTATTTCCTGAGATGACTCGGGGCTCACCTGTAAAAAGGTCGAACAGCCTAACCAGCAAATATACTGGAGGTGAGTCAGAAAAGCACAACTGCACACATTCTCGGCAGTATTATTCCCATGGTTACAATGCTTTGCGTACTTACAACCTCATGTAGTTCAAATTTACTTACAAACCTTTGTCAAAACAAAGCACACAAACATTTCATAGAGTTCAAAGCTCTTTGCTCAGCTGGTCAGAACATGAATTTAACCTGTTATACTGCATAACTCTACCCAATCAAGGGAAGAAAACAGGGTCAAAGATATTTCAAGGAGTGAAAAGTTCATTGATTTTACTCAGATATCTGGCTGTTAAGAGAGGCAGATTAAACCCAAGGCAAGTGACCCCAATACCAGGGAAGGATAGTCTTTGCCTAAATTACTTCTAAGCCTTCAGAGAAAAACAAGAATTATCAATCCACAAACCAAACCAAATACAGATGATTATTTGGATTAAATTATGTGCAAGGGTATTGGGGGGGGGGGGGGGGGG